TGTCTGTACATACATATATATACATATATATAAGCTTTACTGTTTTTTGTTTCTCTAGAGAACCCAATCTAACACAGTGACCATGGGGAACTGGTATCCACTAGTGAGGGTGACCTTGCTCAGATCTCTCTCTACATGAGTAAAGTATTCTTCCACCCACTGCCTGTGTGAGAGCTCCAATATTCTTGGAGAGCCCAGACATTGTCTCAGTTGGATCCCTAAGATTCAGATAATCTCTTTAGAGTGTAGCTTCCTCCAGTTCAGTATTTCACAAACAGGATTCCTTGGAATTCTAGGTTTTTGGAAAATTTTGGAAATAGTCCCACAAGAAGGGACAGTGTTGCTAGTGGACAGTAGGACAAAGTTCATTGTGAATAGTTGAACAATGGCCACTTGTTGAGGTTATATCTGACTTCGGCGTTCAAGTAGGAAGCCATTCCTCACCTATGGACACTGAATTCCACTGAGGAGACACTGTGATTTAGGAGGCGGATGAGGTCTTCTGGTGCCATAGGATGTTGAAGGGACCTGTCATTCTGAGGATGGAATTTTCACCTAATGAATCTGAGCTGTCCACCCCCCTTGTGGTTGTACTTGATGGCAACATGGATTAAGCGGGTGAGACGTGATCAGGATTGTGAAATTCAGATTTCGTGTGGTCTCTTCCTTGGTTCTATGTTCTATCTTTCTACTTTGTATGTTATAAGTGTGTGTGTGTTGTACAAGTAAGTCTTGTGTCCAAATTTGTGGTTTTTGCAGATGAGGGAAGAGATGCAGGAGACCATCCTGAGTTGAGGCCCATGGACAATTCTGATGAGGGAAGCTATGAGCAATTATCACCCTCCCTATCTTCCCCCTGCACTAGCCACACCAGGGACAGAAAAGCTCATGGCATAATAACCACTACAGGGTTTTCCACAGACTGGGGATCCAAAATGTCCTTCTCCCTCTTCATCATTTGGGAAAAGCACTCAGAACATGAAGCAATGGCCAAAGCAAAATAAAGAGATGTCTACCTGCCCGTCACATCCATTTTACTAGTAGACCAATCAACCAAGTCCATTACAGTCCAGTTGAACTTAGTCTCATACAACCCAATAGGACAGAGTAGAACTGTCCCATAGAGTTTGAAAGGAAATAAATCTTTAGGGAAGCAGACTGTCACATCTTTCTGTGGCACAGCATGTGGTGAATTCTAATTACCAACCCTTCAGTTTGCTGCCAAGGGTTTTAACCAGTGTGACATCAGGACTCTTTGACTAGTAAAAGTGGTGATTACTTCAAAAAGCTATCAAGGTACACATGCACATAGAGAAATGCTTATGTTTACAATTTCACATGGAGTGAAGAGCCTCAGTAGGAAGCATGATGTGTATCAGGAGGTTCGGTCCAGAATAGAAGGCATCACATGTGGTGAGAACCTGGCTATGCCGCTGTGTGGCCAGGCCAAGGGCTAACTCCCCTGAGCAAACTCCAGCCGACTGACCTCACATCACATTGTCCTCCATGGGTCCATATCATCAATGCTGGCTATCAGGGACCAAGGAGAAGCCCATGTCCAGGTTTGAAGAAAATACAAGACATTATGCACAGGTAGGAGGGATGGGGATGTGTGCTGGGTTTGCAACCTGGTGTGTAGACTACACTGTCCCCACCATCATGACTCAAAACTCCTGAGGTGACAACCTTGTTCTTCTGCCTTATCAATCCCCAGGCAGGCAGGGGCCCCTCAGAGGGAACAATCTCTTTCCTGGAGACTCAGTCCATGGATCAGGGGCGCACAACACAAGCAGTGGTTGGGATTGGCACCTGGACCAAGGATGCATGTGGGCTCCAGCACAAGCAGAGCAGACCCCAGAGGGCAGCAGAGAGTCACTGGGCAGGGACACTGAGACACTGAGCCCTGGGCAGCAGGTATTCAATCTTCCCAGGGATCCCAAAGTGCAGCCAGGGTCCTCACTGTGACCACAAATGGAAAGGTGTCCCTTTCTAGAGCAACTTCCTTGTCACTGTCTTTGTGTCTCTCTGATGTAGCTCTCAGAGACATTACCTCTCTGTCTGATCACAGATCCTGGAAAGTCCTTTCTTCTTTCAGCTCAGCCAAGGCGTGTGAACTCTCTCTCCATAATGCCTGTTCCCCAGGATGCACATGCCCATCCCACCCTATGCATTGAGGACCCGCATGCCCTTTTACACAGCTGCTCCCCATGGTCTCTGGAATCTCCTCCTAGGTCCATGTATCTGGTCTAGAATATCTCTCTCTAGGAGGCAGGTGAAACATTTTATTCTGTGGTTCCCAGTGCCTGGCCCACAGCAGTATCTTGATACTTTTTTTTTTTTTGATTCATTAATTACAGTTTTTCTGAGAAGATACATTTCCCCAGCACCTAAAGGCAACTTCACAATAATCAATGACCCCAGGAGGTGTCCGAAAGTCTGCAGTTGGTCCTCATTTTCTCATACATTCTTTCAACTCCCCAACTGTCCCTGTCCCTGACTGCATCCTGGGGACACTGAAGCAAAGCTCCTGTCACCTGCCCCGGAGCTCACAGACAAGTGCAGAGACTGAGAGCATCTCTATGGTCCTTACATGTCCCATGTGCATGTGAGGCTCTGCAACTCAGGGCTGTGATCTGACTGGAACCCTGCACCTCTCTGAGCTCCCATTGTCACCTAATGGGGTGAGGTCTGGATGGAATGGGTCCTTGAATGTCAGAGAAATGTCGAATTGAAAGATTCCAAGGGTAGAACTAGGACTGGATTCAGCATCTGACTCCTCCACAAAGGTTCATGGACAGAACACCTCTGGTCCTAGACTATAATGCCCTGCCTTGCTGCAGAGCCAGGAGGAGCACAGGAGGAGTGTAGGGTCCAGGACGACCCTAGCATCCCCACTACGACTCTCTGGTCCCCTCCAAGACCACCCAGTGAGCACGGACCTCTGGGTCCTCTACAGTCAAAAGAGACATCACCTCTTGCACCTACTGTTCAGCAGACAAGCAAGGAGCAAAGATAAGACACAAGTGGACATGGAGATGTCAGTTCTGGAGCTTTGAGGCTCCCCTTAGTTAAAGGTGGAGTGTAGGGACTGCCTTCTTCTTTATGTCCCTGGGGATGTCTTCTCTGTGGCCACACAACTCCCTAGAGGGCAGTCCTTGAGCTCTGCTGATTTGCATAACCAGAGCCCCTTCAGGAAAGGGATAATAGAGGCCAGGAGAGACCATGGCCACCATCTTCTCAGGAAGCAGGTCTCTGAGCACCACCACCATGAACTGGATCCCCTTCTTCCTCACTTTCCTCGCTCACTGCACAGGTGTTACCCCCAGCCCTGGGTCCTGGACCTGCCAAGCTCTGAGCTCATCAGGGCCCGGCTTATCTGGGGCAGCTGTGCTCATGGGGATGCAGCTCTGGAGGCATCATCCATTCCAGTGGAGGAGGGCTGTCCTTCACTCAAAGGCTCCTGCTTCTGGCTATGATCCTGAAGCCCAGAGGTGGAGCTGATGGCAGGGGCCCCTGGGGGTCCACGGATTCTGTAGAGCTCAAGGGAAGGAGCATCGACTGGGGTTTAGCCCCTCAGCTGCAAGCCCACATTTTCTTCTCACTCTTGCAGGCCCTGTGGCCTCCTATGAGCTGACTCAGCCGCCATCAGTGTCCGTGGCCCTAGGACAGACGGCCAGCATCTCCTGTGGAGGAAACAACATTGGAAGTAAATATGCCTACTGGTACCAGCAGAAGCCAGGCCAAGCCCCTGTGCTGGTCATCTATAATGATAGCAACCGGCCCTCAGGGATCCCTGACCGATTCTCTGGCTCCAACTCAGGAAACACGGCCACCCTGACCATCAGCAGGACCCAGGCCGAGGACGAGGCTGACTATTATTGTCAGGTGTCAGACAGTGATACTGCTCACAGTAACACAGGCAGATGGGGAACAGAGACATAAACCTGCCCACTTAGCCTGGCTCACCAGGCCCCCCCCCCCAGTCACATTGAGCAGGATGGACTTTCCATATGGAGTAGAATTTTCCAGTCCTGCCTCAGCTTTTATACTCCTAAGGAAAGGGAACAACTTCCTGCACGTCCAGGTCTCAGCATCTTTCCACTGTATATGGAGCAGGCCATTCTGAACGTCCACGTCCAGCTCCCTGAAGACCACCACATCCATTGCCTTCAAGTCAAATCCAACATGGAGAGACCATGCAGGACAGGATAGAAAATGCCCTATAGGGTTTCCAAGCCTATAAATCTTCACAGAAATAGACTACCATAGCTTTCTCCCACTGAGCAGTTGGTGGGTGTGAACCACTGACCGTGTGGTTAGCAACCAAGCATTTTAACCATTGCGCCACTAAGCCTGCTGCTCTAACGACCTCAGGAACCTCACCGTGTGAGAAGTAAGGAGAAGCCACCCTGACGGGGACACAGAGTGGACTCAGAGTAGGTCAGCGTGTGTTTACAGGGATCAAAATCAAGAGCATGCTTCACTAGGGCTCTTTTGTGAGGCAGATCTTTCAAGGAAGGAAAAGTAGAAATAGGCCACATCTGTGGATAACAGCACAGTACTGGGGACAGAGAGGGAAAGGTCAAGAAGGAAGAGTTGATAGGATACTTTGATCTGATAAACTTGCTGTTTGGGAGATGACCAAAGGGTTTATTGTGTGATTGCTTTTCAGGATGTTCCTGGAGCAAAGAGTGATGGTATTTCTTGGTTCACACCATTATCTTCCTGGCAAGAATTTCTTGAAACAAACATTTAAATCCTGCAATACAAGTGGTCTTAGTCTCAGGACCAAAAAACATTCATGGCAGTATTGATGGTGCCAACAAAGAGAAAGTGTGTATAAATCTATTTGGACCATCACCTGGAGGAATCAGGGTTGTGTTCTAGGTCCCTGCCTACAGGATCTCATTCTACCTTTGGTGGAAAGAACACTGTGAGGATCCCACCGAGGGTGTGTTCACAATGGGTTCCAGACAGAGGGAACAGGTTCTCCAGGTCTCAATGCTGTCTGGGTTGGGAAGCTCTGTTGAGCGACCTTTACAGACACAAGTAATTTGTCTCTCACAAATATTCTTTGCTTCCTACTCAGGTGTTGGCCTCAGCATGCCATGATCCTCTGCCACCTGAGTCATCTCCATAGTCTGTACTCAATTCTAGGCACTGCCTTTCCCAACGCCCTGCCATCCCCAAGCCCTACCTTCCACTCATGGTCCTCTGTGCCCCCCTCATCTCCATAGTCTCCACCCACCTGCTGGCCCTTCCCTTCCCAAAGCCCTCCCATCAACTTCTTCTCATGTCCCCCCTCCCAGGAGCCTCAGCTGCATGCCCCTCTCCATAATCCACAACCTCCTCCTGACTCTGTGGAACCTGGACCCTCCCATCTGCATCCTTCCAGGCTCTTCTAAACGCAAAGCCCACTCTGTCCAGAAGGCCAGACCCTGACACATTGTCAGGATCTCAGGAACCCAGCTGCAGGAGAGGCACATTGTCAGCACAAATTCTGCAGAGGACATCAGGGCTTCATACATAGCCAGGTGGGTCTAGTCAACCGACCTCAACTTCACGGTTCTTCTTGCATGACCCTTAGGACAACCAACAGGAACTCTGAGGCACCTCCAGCTCCATCTGAGCCTCAGATGAGGACCTCTAAATATTTTCTTGGGTGTTTTCTCCTGGCTCTAACTTACTTCATCTTACTCCACTCTGCCTGCATAAAGCCGATTCTCACTTAATTGCTAGGGTCCCTGGCTCCCTCTGTTGATCATTACTGGAAGGTGGTCATTGGGTGGGTCAAAGGAAAGCTCTCTGAAATGTTAAAGTGTAGAAAGAATTTTATTCATTCACTTATTCATTTGCAAGGATTTAAAGGGAAGCCCATGTTTTTCAGAACACTTAGCTCAGTGATTCATAGAAACAGGCATTATTTCATGGTAGAAACCCAAAGTCGGCGGTTAATTTGCTCATTATTCTTCATGGCGAAAATTGTCCTCCTTATTATCACATGCACAAAAGTCATCCTGCCTGCAGGGGTAGTGTTGTCATAAGGCTCACGTTGGGTATCAGCCCCTGCAAGAAATGGGCCCTGGACTCACTTTCTCCAGGACAAGCTGTGTGACTGTAGCCTGAAGGGCTGAGCCCTTTTCCTCCTTCTGAGAAGACACTGTGGGGTTGGACAAGGGGCTTCATACAGAGAGGGTCCCCTCCCTCACCATGTCTCTCTAGACGGGCCCATCAGGTCTACCAAGGGTAGAGACTAAAATCTGAGGTGCTCGCTGTGTGTAAGTAGAAAAGTCTGGAAGTGGAGCCATATCTCCATCCTCAAGTCTCAAGCTGACTCTGGAATCCATGTTGAAGTTGTCTTTTCTAAATACTGTTTCCCTAATCTTGGTGTTGACCTAACCACATACCCGAAAGGAAACTTTTCTCTCTGTGGGCTGGCAGGTGCAGGGCATCACAATCTTATTCCCCAGGGGTCTTTCTGCTGTGGTTGAACAGATGCAAGATCCAACAGCTTATGTCAAAGGATCTTGAGACACAGCATGGCTGATAAATCTTTACAATGCATCCTAAGGGACAGACATGATCGAGAAAGCAATTTTGAAAGCTGGTCACCACAAACACTTGTGCTACCATTGTCCTGCCCATCCTGTAGTAAGCTGAAGAGCTCATACACATGTGATCATATCCACATCACCAATCATATCATCCCACATGTATGTTAACCACCTGGCCCTGCCAAGTCCTCACCCTTACATATCCCACCTTGGCCTCCCCTGATTTTCTTTCAGCTGTTCATGCCTTTGTAAGGTTAGTTCTGGTGTCAAAGGTGCAAGAATGCTCTCTTCTTCATTGTCCACTGGAGAGGCATCTTCACTCGGTGATTTTGAACGTCTTCATGGTCCAGACCCTCTGTGAACCTTCAATACACCTCTTAATATTATTTTGCACAGGGTATGCTTTCACTCAAGGACACCTGAAACACTCTCAGGGCATCATTTTTCAGTTTGAGGGTTTCTTCAGGGGATGTAACCTTCTGGGTATGTTACCTTCAGCCTCAGGCTGATCCTTCCCCTGCAGGATCATTGGTCTGGGAGAAACACCATCTCTGCAGACAAGGCTGCTGTGTGGTTATTTCTAGACACATCTACCAGCATTTAAGGTCCATGATAAGCTCCAGCTCTGTCTCAGAAATCACATCTCATGGGTCCAGGCTTTTGGAGCTGTAGCCCTCAACATGTACCTGGTCCTATCTGTCCTCCCTCAGTCTCTCACCACTCCTGCTTTGCTCAAAAATGCTATGGTTTTGAGTCCAGATTCCTGAGAACTTGCTCTTGGGTCCTGTTCTCTTAGGTCATTCATCTCAACTAGGATTGTTTTTAACTTCCCTTGGCTCAAGACACCTACACTGCCCACCCACTGGGAGCTGTAACACCTACCACCAAGGCCATGGGAGGACCACACCATGTGGTGGCTGTGAGCACCATCAGTTGCAGGCTCGGTCTTGATTGAAGACATGTCAAGTTGGGAAAAGTGACTGCATGGAGGATAGAACCCAAGAGATACCTTCCTGGATGAGCTTAGTGCTGATGACAGCCTTGTGGGTGCCTCTTCTCAGGAGGGGGTCATATAGGAAAATTCTAATTGTGACCAATATTTTGGACATCAGGGGACATAGATCAGGAGGTAGGTAAGGTCACTGTGAGTTAGTGCAGTGAGGGCCATTTTCCTGGGGACAGGGTCCTGGGCTGGAGGTCATCTTAGTCTGAGTGAGGTCAAAATGGGGGCTGTGGGGTCTTCTCAAGGCAAAGGTCCCAGTTGTTGGGGGAGGAGGTCCTGGACAGACAGTCACAGTGGTGAATCCTGGATATTTGTCCACTGGATCAAGAAATAGTCATGGGGCACCTAAC